GTGAAAGCTTTAACCACACTACCTCAACACCTCTTCTATTACCAACACTACAGAGGCGGATCTATGGTCCGACTAACAGGAACAATCATTATGTTCCTCTATGATCCAATGCCAGCTATGGTATCATTACAACAGCTATTTGTTACCCTGCATTTCCCTTCTATCAGTGGATCATTGTAAATGGTTCAATCCCCAAGCCTTATATAAAGTGGTTAACAGTCTTGGCACTCATCATGAAGAGGGTACAACAAGGGCTGGTCTGCCCAGAGTTACTGCAATGCTTGGGGTGTCCATGTTAAACTATGGCATCTCAGTGGGTTAGCACTATAAAACTGGCATCAGTCGACTACGAGCAGACACAGATATGGACTCAGACCCACATAGCTGTACCAGAGCCATAGCCTTGAATACAATATTGAGACCCATTCTTGTCACCTTACAGACACTCTGGACAAGCAAATGGAACTCTTTCCTTGAATTTCAGAGGAGTCAATGACACTACATGTACATGTATTATTTACAGAATTGAGGACCATCATAGAACTGCACATCACCACATGTTTAATAAGTGACAGATGACATCCTTCTGTGACTGGTGTTCATATTCTATATCAGGGCCGAACACAGGACACATGCTCCCAATCCAGATGTTCACGGTGTCCCCCTTATGATGACAGGTGAACACACAAGTCATCATCCTTAGGTCATGACAGGTGCACCCAGATGTTCACGGTGTCCCCCTTATGATGACAGGTGAACACACAAGTCATCATCCTTAGGTCATGACACACAAGTCATCATCCTTAGGTCATGACACCCTGCCAATCCAGATGTTCATGGTGTCCCCCTTATGATGACAGTTGTACACACAAGTCATCATCCTTAGGTCATGACCGGTGCACCCTGCCAATCCAGATGTTCATGGTGTCCCCCTTATGATGACAGTTGTACACACAAGTCATCATCCTTAGGTCAGGACCGGTGCACCCAGCCAATCCAGATGTTCACGGTGTCCCCCTTTTGATGACAGTTGTACACACAAGTCATCATCCTTAGGTCATGACCGGTGCACCCAGCCAATCCAGATGTTCATGGTGTCCCCGTTATAATGACAGGTGAACACGCAACCAGTCAAGACTTTCAATGTCTGACCACCTCAGTGACAAGTATACATGCACTCAATCATTTCTTTCCATGACATCCTGACAGGTGCACGCAGCAAGTCAACACGTTCATGGTGTCCCTAAAGACAATGACAGGTGCACCCAGCCAAACACAGCAAGTCACTGTCATCATCCTTAGGTCATGACAGGTGCACCCAGCCAATCCAGATGATCACGGTGTCCCCCTTATGATGACAGGTGTACGCACAGCAAGTCAATGAGATCATCCTTGGTCACGACCGGTTCACCCAGTCACTCCAGATGATCATGGTGTCCCCCTTGTGATGACAGGTGTACACACAGCAAGTCAATGTGATCATCCTTGGTCACGACCGGTTCACCCAGTCACTCCAGATGATCATGGTGTCCCCCTTGTGATGACAGGTGTACACACAGCAAGTCAATGTGATCATCCTCGGTCACGACCGGTGCACCCAGTCACTCCAGATGATCATGGTGTCCCCCTTATGATGACAGTTGTACACATAAGTCATCATCCTTAGGTCATGACAGGTCCACCCAGCCAATCCAGATGTTCACGGTGTCCCCGTTATGATGACAGGTGAACACGCACCCAGTCAAAACTTTCAGTGTCTGACCACCTCAGTGACAAGTATACATGCACTCAATCATTTCTTTCCATGACATCATGACAGGTGCACGCAGCAAGTCAACACGTTCATGGTGTCCCTAAAGACAATGACAGGTGCACCCAGCCAAACACAGCAAGTCAATGTGATCATCCTTGGTCACGACAGGTGCACCCAGTCACTCCAGATGATCACGGTGTCCCCCTTGTGATGACAGGTGTACACACAGCAAGTCAATGTGATCATCCTTGGTCACGACCGGTGCACCCAGTCACTCCAGATAATCACGGTGTCCCCCTTGTGATGACAGGTGTACACACAGCAAATCAATGTGATCATCCTTGGTAAAATCCTCATCCTAAACTAAACTTATTCTGCATACATATGTAAAGTATATCATTGCATAAGAAAAGGCAATTAAACCGTCATGTCAAATAACTAAACCAATTTTACCCAGTGTCAAATATTTGGCAAGTCAATGTTACCCTTAACACGTAAAATACAATGTCAACAAAACTAACCTGCCAATAAAAGTCACAGATATAATTCATTTAACATGTGTTACATTGAAATGCACCTAAACAACAGAACAATATTCTGTGAAGACAACACAGTCGGCTGTAAGGTCTACTGCCAGGATGACAGTCCAATCATTGGCCCCTTTAACGTACAACATCTATATAGCCAGCCTCATGTGCAAGCTGACTTTACCACCATTGCCTCAAACCCAACATGTCCACCCTTGCAGCTCACAGCAGATGCACATCATTCATTGTTCTTTCTGTAATTTGATCAATACTCTCCTGAATAACAATTAAACATCAACGCTCTCAATTAAACAATTATAAGTAGGCAAAAGAGTGCATTAGAATTTATTAGTCTTTGAGTGTGGACTCCCCAACATATGATATATATTTTGATCAATACTTCCCTGAATAACAACTGAACAACAAAGCTCTCCTAAATAAGAATTAAACAATCTGAAGTAAGCAAAGGCGTGAATTACAATTTGTTCATCTTTTATGGTATCCTCGCCAACATATGATAGGGATAGTCATGGGTATTCAGTGAGATACCAAAGAAGAAATAATTAAGTACTGAAATAATAACTAACTATTGCTATTCATTGAGTTTTACATAAAGACGAGAGTTAATGGATGTCAACTTCTGTATTTTGAGGAACATGACATTTTGGAGGATATTCTACCCATTCATCTTACTCATTCACATGATCACTGAGAACATACTCCGAGACGTTGTGTTCCTCAAAATAAAGAAGTTGATATCCATTAATTCTTGCCTTTCTGTGTACCACTTCTAAATGCCATTCAAAGTGTTTTACATTCATTACAAAGTTGTCCCAACCGAACATACGGAGAAAGCCCAAGGTAATTAAGGTCATACACTCAAACCTTTAGTGTATGGCTGATGACAAGCCCAGGATCAGGGCCAACCAGAGATTCAATATATGATCAGTGAATCCTGGTACTACCAAGGGCCATAAATCTGCACAGTTGTTTATGATGCTTTAGACCACTGGGCTACCAGAACTCTGCGTTCCTAACAAACTTGAGTAGTATGCCAGTATATATAGCAACAGGCTGCATGCATGGTTACAGATAAGGTACAGGTAAATGCAGAGTATAGTAAATAACAGAGTATAGTACAGGGACCATATCACAACTGAAAGAGTGGATCTAATACTGAATACACATCCAAGAGTTCAAGGGGCGGTGGGGTAGCCCAGTGGTTCAAGTGTCTGCACGTCACACTGAAGGCCTGAGGTCGATTTCCCACATGTCAACAAAATGTGCAGCCCATTTCTGATGTCCCCTGCCGTGATGGTGCTGGAATATTGCTAAAAGCAGCATAAAACCCAACTCACTCACTCAAAGAGTTCAAACATGCATTCCAAGTTCAGCTAGCTTCATAAGTGTTCAGTATGCAGTACAAGTGTTCAGTACAAGTGTTCAGTATACAGTACAAGTGTTCAGTACAAGTGTTTGGTATACAGTACAAGTGTTTGGTATACAGTACAAGTGTTTGGTAAACAGTACAAGTGTTTGGTATGCAGTACAAGTGTTTGGTATGCAGTACAAGTGTTTGGTATGCAGTACAAGTGTTCAGTATGCAGTACAAGTGTTTGTATGCATTACAAGTGTTCAGTATGCATTACAAGTGTTCAGTATGCATACGCAGTACAAGTGTTCAGTATGCATTACAAGTGTTTCAGTATGCATTACAAGTGTTCAGTATGCATTACAAGTGTTCAGTATGCAGTACAAGTGTTCAGTATGCAGGACAAGTGTTCAGTATGCATTACAAGTGTTCAGTATGCATTACAAGTGTTCAGTATGCATTACAAGTGTTCAGTATGCATTACAAGTGTTCAGTATGCAGTACAAGTGTTCAGTATGCATTACAAGTGTTCAGTATGCATTACAAGTGTTCAGTATGCATTACAAGTGTTCAGTATGCATTACAAGTGTTCATCAGTATGCATTACAAGTGTTCAGTATGCATTACAAGTGTTCAGTATGTACGCATTACAAGTGTTCAGTATGCATTACAAGTGATCAGTATGCAGTACAAGTGTTCAGTATGCATTACAAGTGTTCAGTATGCATTACAAGTGTTCAGTATGCAATTACAAGTGTTCAGTATGCATTACAAGTGTTCAGTATGCATTACAAGTGTTCAGTATGCATTACAAGTGTTCAGTATGCATTACAAGTGTTCAGTGCATTACAAGCAATTACAGTACAGTGTTCAGTACGCAATACACGTGTTCAGTACGCAATACACGTGTTCAGTATGCATTACAAGTGTACATCATGCACTATAAGTACTCATGTGTTCAGCACCCAACAGAGCAATTCTGACTTTCCAGGACAAAGTTCAGTCAGCACAAACAGCACTATCAGCATCAAGCTGTTGTGTGTGATGATGATACATGATAAAGGAGAAATGACTGGCCCACTATACCAAGCTGGCAACAACAGATATCAAGCTGACAATCATGTCACAGTCAACCATGTCTTATAACTTGAATAAAACACTGTCTCAAGAAGGAACCGTCTCAACAGTCAGGCAGTTTCATTCCACTGCACTACTATATTTAGTTTCAGAAAAATAGAAAGAAAATTAGATTGATTATGATTAGCGGTCACAGGTGCTTGCAGTTTGATTTTTTTATAAAAAAATATATTTAGATATATTGTCTAAAAAGGATGTGTTAAAACATTAAAACTGTTAATAGGACAAATTTGACTTTATTTTGTGTTTTTCCTACAACCCTTTGGCAAACTATCATAAAAATCAAAGAAAACAAATATTGTTTGCACATTTTGTGTCTGTTAAAAGAGATTCAAGTTACAGAAAATTGTTGTGTTTACAAATGGCATAAACACCTACACAGGTACAGGCTGGAAAATGTGTGGAATAAATAATCAACTATCAATCAAATATGATTTGCAACTTGTAGACAAATTTCTGACAGGTTTGTCCATAGTAATATTTACACTTCCGCTTACTCTCGTGCGGCTTGACATTAAACCCATCCTCCATGAGATCGTTCTCCAGACATTTCATGAACACTTCTTCATCAGCTTGTGCTTCCCACGGCCCGATACTGACATGAGCTGATTCCACAATACACCCATGGAGGGGATTAAAGTTCTGAACCTTGGCCTTGAACTCTGTTTTGAAAGCACATATCAACACTTCACCTATTCTGTTAACTGACGCATTAGCAACTGCTGCTCGGATGACGTCATTCTTGGCATCTTGGTACCCTGGAAACTGGGATCGATGGGATTCTTTGACAATAATTGAAGCAATTTCTGGTCGAAGCTGTAGCTTTTCAACCATGGACTGAAGGCCGTAGTACTCGGCATCTCTGTAGACAGCTATGGATGAGTCGGAGGGCGGAATTGTTCCGTAGCGGAGGTATTCCAGAATGTGACCAAACACGGCACCGTTGGTGTCCAAGAAGTAATGGCCATCTTGGTCCTGGTCAACCTTGTGACGGCCACTGAACATGGCCGCTAGCATGGAGTCGGAGTACTTCAGCAGCGTGGAGAGTCGCGTCTGGTACACCATTCCGCCAACATTCAGGGATATGATTGGAGGAAACTGGCCCAGTTTTACCACATTGTCTCTTATCTGAAAAAAACAAAACAACAAAAAAGATAATCTACAAGTAACACAGAAATTTGAAGGATTTGTATAACCCACAATCCCAGTATTTGAAGAAGTAGTTACTGAAATTGACCAGTAGGGAGGTATGTAGTAGTTACTTCATTCTAATACGAGAGCTTGGTCCAAATACACCACAGCCTGGTCGCTGGTGATTGATCCATGAATTGTCGAGGGCGTAGTAACTGCTTTGTACCATGCCCACATTCTGCATTCAAATTTCGAAATCTGCATGGGATTTTTTTATTTAAAATCATTCTGTTTGAGACTGCCGCCATGTCTAGTTGTGAGTGGGATAATACTATAGACAACATTACACTGTCACAAATAGTTGACAAATTGAAGGTGCTAAACTCTGGGATGATACAATTGATGACATCATTCTCTCACATGCGGCCGATATAATGGAAACTAAATCTACTGTGTTAAAGGGATTGGCCAATTTATTAGACGAAGTATTTTCAATAATTAGGCCAGACCAATTTTATTTCTTGTTTTACAGGTCCGCTGGTCATATTTCTTCAAGAATAAGAAAAAAATATAAGATAATCGTCCCTGCTCAAAAAATAAAAACCTAATGTTTTACTGGTCAAAAATGTAAATTTACAAGAAAAGTTTTTTTTTAGACTGTATTTTGCCCCATATACATTTCATAAACGTTTGTTAAACGTAGGCGTGGCTAAAATTGAAAAGAGCCAATCAGGGAGTTGCTGTCGAAGGCACAGCTCAATACTGTGGTGTAACTATACAATACACGTCTGAGATCAAAGGGACCGCAGTCGGAGCATAGTACAATTCAAATTTTATCATCAATTGGTATCTTTTTAATTACCTAAAAGTAAAAATTAAACATTTAGGGGTCCCCAGATTGATATGTGACCTGGAAAAATGTGTTTGCTTCTCTAGACCTTTTCAGATCTGACTCATTTCTGATGACTTTCTTATTTTACTTCTGGTCAGGTGAGGTGAGGTGAGGTGAAATTGGGTTTAACGTCGTGATTGAGAATATTTCGCTCATATGACGACGTGCATGCGTGTGTGTGTGTATGTGCGGTTGCTTGTACTAGCCCAGACTATGCTGGTTTTATAGTGCCAGCCCACTGAGATACCATGCCGCAGTGAAGCATGAATACCCCACTCAGACACATTATACTGACTCCGAGCCGACCAGTCCTTGTTGTACCCATTAATGCCGAGCGCCAGGCAGGGTCAGGTCAGGACCCTCATGGCCTATATTATCAACAAAAGGTATGAGGCAACAAGGCCACAGTGACCACAGCCAGGTTCCCCTCCATTCCCAATATGACAGAATAAGGTAAGAGTTTAACTAAATTTGTATTCAAGTGGAGGCATATAATTTCAGCTTAATCTTTTTCTTGGTGTGCTGGAATATATTTAAGAAATAGTGGTGTAGAAATTTTAGGAGCTTGGGAGACAAAAGAGACAAGAATAATATATCATCAAGACTGATATGGCAGCACCTGCATGGACAACATGAACCCCTTTAAATTTTGACATTGATCAATAATTTGATGGTTATATTATCAGCTGGTTCCAAAGGCAACATATTTATAAGTCCTTCATCTCCCATAGTACAGCCAAAAATATTAATAAAAAATTATGAGATCTTTATAGTATATCAGTCATGGATTAAAACCTATTTTTTTTTAATTAAGAAAATATCTGAAATTTAGCTTGCTAGAGCGTGTTAGTGTTAATTTGACTAATAACAAAACCAAAAACAAACAAGCATCATCTAACAAAAATTGACAATAAATGGGAAAATGCGATAAAGAAAATAGTTTAAGACATCCATTAACCACAAACAATATGAAAACCGATAAAGGCTGATTTAACGAAAATATGGACTCTCTACACAGGTACGCACCGAGTAGTGATTGACACCTGTCTGAGGTGATGACGGCAGGAACGAGCACCTGTCTGTCGCCGCACTGAATCTGCACGGGGCTCTTCATAACCTTCCCTGACATGCGTGATGAAAGGATGCTTAGCTCTTGGAAAAGGCTTTGGTGCGATTTCTCGCATTGAAATAATTTCCTCAACAGAGGAATCGTCTTCATCTGTCATTTTCAATATTTCTTCTGCGGATGTTTTGGCATGCAGTTGTTATCTCCCTTCCCTATATGTATATATTTAGACATAGACTACTTTCCTAATAACTAGTATCACATTATTTCGAGCAACAGAATATTTACCGGTGAAGTAACTAATTCCGCTTTTCTCGTTCATATTGTCACAATAAAAACAACGTTTTCCTGGATTTCAAGAATTTTGCTCAGTAGTCAAGTAACAAATACAAAATTATTTGATTTTTTGCAATCGCGTGTACGCGGGGCGTGAGTGAGTGGGTGATTTAAGAATTAAAGTCGCTTCTACATTATTCCAGCCATACAGCGACGAGAACAAGACTGCCGTATATAGATGAGTGTATCACAAAGGGTGTTCGCATTGTTTTCTGTGGTACTGATGGCACAACATGTTTTAAGTTTTAGTTAGGTTAGTTGACCTCAGGGAATTTGCTTTGTACTAGATTCGCATAAGTCTCTTAGGTAATGATTGATATAATAAAGAACTTAGTAAGCACCCTTGACATAGCTCACGATTGAATGAGCCCCGATTTTAACCCTTTGGAGCATATCTGGGACATGATTTGTCGTCGTGTGCAACAAAGGGATCCTCCTACAGAACCTGGCCCAATTGGAAGCTGCTTTACACGAGGAATGGCGTAGACTGCCCCTTCAGAGGATCAGGAAGATGGCAGGGGGTATGAGGAGGAGGGTGCTGGCTGTCATACAGTCACATGGTGGTTACACTCGGTATTGACCTTGAATCGTGTAAGACACGCAAAATGACATTTTAAATGTTCACATTCACCAACATATTCAACATTAAACCAGTGTATGAAATAAGGCCCGTCCGACCGCCCGAGACGGTCTAGATTTCTGACGGACGGTCTAAATTTACAGCTAGCCAGCCCGATGGTCTGGTAAAAAGTTTAGATGTTCCATACATCTGAGTAAATTCACCATATTTGGTATGGTTAAATCTATTTTGGGCTGGTAACATTTTGAAGTTACCGGCCCTGATGTCTGGCTGGACTTTTGGCTTATTTCATACACTGATTTAACATTCCAGGGCCATACGTGTACAGACATGGTTTTGTATGAAAATAAGAGAGCAATTATCATCATAAAACCAACATCCACCCTCTGGAACCACTGTTCTGCAGAGTGCATTGATAGGGTGACTGTCCGCCTGCGTTTGCAGTGATCGCGTGCTTGTTTTGGCGGTGAATGCAAGTTCGGTGTTGAAAATCTAGTCACCATTTGTGAAAGACGAACAATATCATTAACTTTTTACGAATGCAAAGGTTCTGGTGGTCATTTATAGAAAGTTATAACTTGCTAGGTTAAACATGAAGAAAGCAATCAGCGATTATCGGCAGAACATACCATTTCATGTAGACACATACTAAGTTTAATACCAAATGGTTTGATTTTACAGTATTTCTATGTGCAGACATTGTTAATGATACACGTTTCCACATATATGTGCAGTCTTTGCTCAGTTGAATGCATAGTATTCATATAATCAGTCTAAATGTAATCGTGAAGTGATCGGGGTCCAGTGACTGTACGCCCACTGTGCATGCATGCAGTGATCGTATTTTTTTCGTGCAGTGATCGGGATAGTACAGTCGTTTCAAACATGAGCATGGACCTGTAGAAGTGAAGATGACTGTAATAGAGCGTTTGGAGCTAAGCTTTATTAGCACAGGATCAGAAATTGAAGTCCCAGCCATTGCTCCGTTAAAGCACTTCAAGCGCAACTTACCCGTGAAGATCCGGGTTAGAATTGATCTTCAGTAACACATGCTTATCGTAAGAGGCGACTAACGGGATCGGGTGGTCAGGCTCGCTGACTTGGTTGACACATGTCATCGAATCCCATTTTGCTTCACATTTGGTGATATATCCCTGCTCATCTGCTTCACATTTGGTGATATATCCCTGCCCATCTGCTTCACATTTGGTGATATATCCCTGCCCCTCTGCTTCACATTTGGTGATATATCCCTGCCCCTCTGCTTCACATTTGGTGATATATCCCTGCCCCTCTGCTTCACATTTGGTGATATATCCCTGCCCCTCTGCTTCGCATTTTTGCTTAGAGGACTCTGTGTCTGAAGGTACTATATAGATAGAAAATTTTATGTTTTTGCAGATGTACCCTCAAGGTCGCTTAGTACAATGTCATAAATACTGATTCTTGCCTTTGTTTATATTAAATGTTTTGGTCATTGTCTTTATTTTCAAATCTAAGTGTTTTTGCACACAGTGATTCACAACTGTAGGAAAGTCATCCATATAAGGGCAATATCCACACCTAACCTTCTCATCCATATAAGGGCAATATCCACACCTGACCTTCTCATCCATATAAGGGCAATATCCACACCTAACCTCATCCATATAAGGGCAATATCCACGCCTAACCTTCTCATCCATATAAGGGCAATATCCACACCTAACCTTCTCATCCATATAAGGGCAATATCCACACCTGACCTTCTCATCCATATAAGGGCAATATCCACACCTGACCTTCTCATCCATATAAGGGCAATATCCACACCTAACCTCATCCATATAAGGGCAATATCCACGCCTAACCTTCTCATCCATATAAGGGCAATATCCACACCTAACCTTCTCATCCATGTAAGGGCAATATCCACACCTAACCTTCTCATCCATATAAGGGCAATATCCACACCTGACCTTCTCATCCATATAAGGGCAATATCCACACCTGACCTTCTCATCCATATAAGGGCAATATCCACACCTGACCTCCTCTTCCATATAAGGGCAATATCCACACCTGACCTTCTCATCCATATAAGGGCAATATCCACACCTGACCTTCTCATCCATATAAGGGCAATATCCACACCTGACCTTCTCATCCATATAAGGGCAATATCCAAACCTAACCTTCTCATCCATATAAGGGCAATATCCACACCTAACCTTCTCATTCATATAAGGGCAATATCCACACCTAACCTTCTCATCCATATAAGGGCAATATCCACACCTAACCTTCTCATCCATATAAGGGCAATATCCACACCTGACCTTCTCATCCATATAAGGGCAATATCCACGCCTAACCTTCTCATTCATATAAAGGCAATATCCACACCTGACCTTCTCATCCATATAAGGGCAATATCCACACCTGACCTTCTCATCCATATAAGGGCAATATCCACACCTGACCTTCTCATCCATATAAGGGCAATATCACCCATGACCTTATATGAGATGAGAGAATGAGATGATATATAGATGAAAGATCAGGTGATATGCCTATAAGAGGCAATATCAAACCTAACCTTCTCATCCATATAAGGGCAATATCCACACTTGACCTTCTCATCCATATAAGGGCAATATCCACACCTGACCTTATATGGATGAGGTTGTCAGGTGAATGATTATTATATGGATGAGAAGGTCAGAAATGGATATTGCCCATATAGAACAATATCAAAACCTAACCTTCTCATCCATATAAGGGCAATATCCACACCTAACCTTCTCATCCATATAAGGGCAATATCCACACCTGACCTTCTCATCCATATAAGGGCAATATCCACACCTGACCTTCTCATCCATATAAGGGCAATATCCACACCTAACCTTCTCATCCATATAAGGGCAATATCCACGCCTAACCTTCTCATCCATATAAAGGGCAATATCCACACCTGACCTTTCTCATCCATATAAGGGCAATATCCACACCTGACCTTCTCATCCATATAAGGGCAATATCCACGCCTGACCTTCTCATCCATATAAGGGCAATATCCACGCCTAACCTTCTCATCCATATAAGGGCAATATCCACACCTGACCTTCTCATCCATATAAGGGCAATATCCACACCTGACCTTCTCATCCATATAAGGGCAATATCCACACCTGACCTCCTCTTCCATATAAGGGCAATATCCACACCTGACCTTCTCATCCATATAAGGGCAATATCCACACCTAACCTTCTCATCCATATAAGGGCAATATCCACACCTGACCTTCTTATCCATATAAGGGCAATATCCACGCCTGACCTTCTCATCCATATCAGGGCAATATCCACACCTAACCTTCTCATCAATGTTGCTCAGTCTGAAATTGATCGAAAATATACTTTGTTACATCGAAACACCGGCTATTCCATATTTTCTATAAAATTTAAGAAAAGGTGTACAGAAAATTCCGATCACTGCATATTCCAAATTTCCGATCACTGAATTCTGTTTTCATCGTACTCCCGCGATAACTTCACTGAATATCAATTTTACATTTTGTACAATAACTTCTTCAATTTTCACCCGAATGACTTCCTCTTTTCACAGAAGCTACAACTGATGGTGATAATCTTTAACTGTGTATGTCATTCATAAGAAAAATGAAAATATATTTCAAATGAACTTAGTATTAGTCTACGTGAAAAGGTATGTTCTGCCGATAATCGCTGCTTGCTTTCGTCATGTTTAACCTAGCAATTCAAAACTTTCTACAAATAACCCTCAAAACCTTTGCATTCGTGAAATGTTAATATATAAATGATATTGTTCGTCTTTCACAAATGGTGACATGGATTCACAATCATTTTGTCACTGTTTTTCTGCATGACAGTCCAGGAGTCATCATTTTGTCGTTTTTTATGAATCAAAGGATCATCCTTAGAAATCATTAGCATTTCATTCATAATACTATTTTAGTACATTCAAATATTTTGAGCAGGGGATTTGAACCCAGAGTCTGGCAGCTAATCCGACTTCCATTTTTGTGGAAGCCGTGTTGGCTGAGCGGGTTAGACGGATGACTTTGTGTGCTGGCGATTAGGTGCATATCTCTGAAATTGTGGGTTCGAATCCCGGATGGGACCCAACACAAGTTGTAGAACCTGTACATTACTGTGAAAGTGTAATTCCAAGAATAACATTCGTTACACTTTTAATTCAAAACCCCCATACATTCATTCATTATTCATTTCAAACATTCACAGTTCATTTACTTGGTTGATCGGGATGAATGTACAGAACAACGTAGATATCTGATGAAAATTTTGTCCACAAGACTTATTTTGTCGTGGTATTCGGAAACTGCTTTTTTAGCCTACAGTCAACGCCAAAATTATTTTTGGTTCCATCCAAATTACGTTTTTTAGAAATCCCAGACTTCTGTCAAAAACGAAAACAAGCGGAAGTGGTGCGAAATTGATCTGGCACTGTGATGGAAAACAGGTCATTATACATCAGATGAGTTATATACAATTTTACTGTTAAATAACTGACCTATTACACGCATCGCTCCCTAACCCTTTCCTGAAATTGGAATTTCGTATATCTACGACCCAATATGAAGAATATATATTCTCCATAACAAATATCTAGTACATTGTGTATATGTAGGTGTCAAATATAACACATTTGATGCTGACCGCCTCCGTGGTGTAAACAAAAAGGATAAGGGGCCAGACTCCAACAGCTCTGGCCATCATTCATGACATCGACCACTGGTTTGGTACAGACAAAAACTAAACAAAATTGTGCCGTCACAAGTATATTCTGTCTTACAGTCTCTGAACCGTATTGTTTTCCCTTCTGCCTGGCGATGTCTGTGATGCAAACGCCACACATGATCATGAAGCCGATCTTGAACTTCCAATCTCACTGGGGCTTCTTTTCAATTAAAATGTAATTACTTGTTTTCATCATATTCTATATATTGCAGAGACAAAGCTTTAGTCTACCACAATAAAAATCCTGCAAGTAAGTTTATTTTCAACAAGGGGGTACTTTTATGGATATACAACTAATTTATTACTAAGTGTAGAACAACCCTCCTTCAAGCCTTTCAAGGCCCTTGTTCATCGCGTAATGTTTATTTTAACATGTGTGCAATGCATCCTCGGTAAATTAGCATTAAAACGTTTCTCTTTTTGTGCATATTTTCTTCACGTGATATTGATACTTTTTGTAAATTGCGTAAACTGTTTTTCGTCTTTAGTGTCCAGGATAACCGTTGGATTACATCGCATTGAAGAACTTGTCAAAGGTTAATGAGATATGTACTTTTAACAATAGTTGTTAGGGACATAGTATTCAAAGTGGGTTTTTAATATCGACCAATAAAACGAACCTTCAGTTTAACTCCCGAGGCAGCAACATGGATGCCTCCAGCGAAGTGAGACCTTTGACAGTTCCCCATCTACCATCATTACCCAATTTGAGGGTACTGTGTAGCACAACGTATGCCAACTGTGCACGACCGACTGGACTTATTTACAGGTCATCGAGGCCGGACCACTTGGCCCCCAATGACTTACAGAAGTTTCGTAATCTGGGGATTAAATGCATCATTGATTTTCGAGGAAGGAAGGAGTATGCCAATGCAACAGGAACGAAACCTTTGGATGCTGATTTCGATTTATTCCAAATTAAAACCCCAAGTGGGAGTGGGAAAAACTATAAACCACAAGAATGTGTAAGCTTTGTGCCTCTGGAAAAGAGAACATGCAAGAAGAACAACGGCGTACAACTGACAATGAAAGATATCAGAAGTTCAAAGTACAAACAACCACATTTTCTGCTTGATTTCTTCGCCGGCAGTTATGTATGGACAATCTTGAACCGGGCGCCTTGGTACAAGAAACTGTACTCTATACTGTTCCTCCTTTATGATTTTGTGTTCAGTACAGGCTACAAACACTTCGTAAGATTTTTTGTGATCAATGTACTAAACTGCACAGGAATTGCAGGCCAGTACAAGGATATTGTAGACCTAAGTCAGAAAAGCATTTGTGCAGGTAATAACACTGTTAATGATATTTACCTACAGAAGCGTAGTCACCAAACACCAAAAATTACCTACAAATACAGTATTATTTCTATTACCAGAGGGGCGGTGGGGTAGCCTAGTGGTTAAAGCGTTGGCTCGTCACGCCGAAGACCCGGGTTCGATTCCCCACATGGGCACAATGTGTTAAGCCCATTTCTGGTGTCCCCCGCCGTGATATTGCTGGAATATTGCTACAAGCGGAGTAAAACTAAACTCAGTCAGTCAGTCAGTCTATTACCAGATTTATTAAGTTAACGGTGTTATTGCAACACCAAATTAACTCTTCATCATGTTCATGTTAAGAAAATATTGTTTAGCTGTCAACTTTACAATAAATTGTGGTGAACTAATAGTAGTACTAGGTGCATAGACTCTTTCAATATATTTAATTAACTATTGAGACAGGAAGGACATGATCCAAAGTAACCATAACACTACCAAAGAATTGATTTTTTCAGCTATGAAAATAATGTGTGATGAAAACAATTTCCCCATCCTCCTCAACTGTGCTCATGGGAAGGATCGAACAGGAATTGTCTCTGCACTTATCATGTCCTGTAATGGCAAATCCAAACAGGAAATTGCTGAAGAATATGCCAAGTCTGAGGTCAGTACTGTTCAGTTATTCAGTTTGTTGTTCAGATTCTGTCTCTGAGGTTAACTGAACACTAAAACCTAACAATAGGTAATTACTGTTATCAGAGGACCAGTTATCACCAAACCTTTCTTACAGCATGCAATCTATTGCTATTTTTGTGTTTGTTTACATTAGAATATGGGAGTATTTATCCAAAAATTGCAGAGTTGACTGAGGATAGTATGAAAACATCAGATAAGCACCATGTTTAGGTGAAACTTTAGAAAAACTTCAGAAAAAGAGCGAGTGTCATGTGACTACTTCACCTGAAGGTATAAATGAATTTAGTTCAGTCATTCTTCGTGGTTAACAATGTTTAAAGATTGGTTTTAGTCTGTGGGATATCAAACAATGTTACCATTTTTTATACATTCCAGACTACAGGGATGGCAATTTCTGCTGATCCATGGATTTCCCAGATTTCGTTTCATAGACACATTTCGATGGCACAATATTTCATCTGAAAGTTTTCATCTGAAAATAGATTTTGCAGTTGCCATCCCTGAGAATATTCTTTTGTGTAAATTTCAAATTACGGTATGAATCAAAATGATTTTAACTTCAAAGTCTTGTGTGGAATTCATTGGCTTGAAACAAATGCAGTGTAGCTTTTAAAAACAGCTTTCTGATTGCCTGGTGTCAAGTTGTTGGTCATTTCATTGATTGGTCATAGTTGACCAAATTCTTTCTGTTTTGGCCTGTATTGTTCTCAGATGTTTTTTGAGCTGTATTGAAAAACTATGACCTGTTTTTATTAATTTTAAAGAGACTGTTCAATTTGAAGTCGTGATTTGCTGTTTGAATGATTAGTTTTTGTGTAGACTGGTGTGATCCCCATGCGAGCGCGGATGAACAAGGAGATAGTGGAGCGGTACCACATGAGCGAGGACTTCCTGACTGCCAGGGCCGACACGATGCTGCAGCTGCTCAACTACATTGAACACAAGTAAGAACATCATCATATACATCAGTGAACATCGCTGACACTTCATGAATAATGGGAATTCCGGGTTATGCTACTTCCCTGGAAACTTAGGATGGTCATACAATGCGACCCTGCTGGATGAAGTGTATGACGATATGTATGATAGAAACAATTAACTCCATTTTCATCAGTGTAGGAGTTTAGTTTTCTGCTGCTTTTTGCAATTTTCCAGCAATATCACTGCGTAGAACACCAGAAATGGACTTCACGTGTTGTATCCCTGGGCTGGGAGGAAGGGATATGAGTATGTTCAGGGACTGTCCGACACAATATGGACTGGGTTGTCAGGCTCTGTTTATGGCATCATCATGCACTGATGTGATAAATCATTGCTCATAATATCAATCACTGGATTCTGGGGAATATTGCTGAGAGAGGTTTTTAAGCGAAAACAAACAAATAATAAAACCAATAAGGAATGGTCCCTTTAACTACTGTTAACAGGTCTATGACTTCAACACAATTTCTTTCAATTTTTGACCAGGTATGGCTCTGTGTCCACCTATCTGGAGATCATCGGCTTTGGAGCCTCAGAGCAGGCTAAACTCAAAAGAATTTTGACAGGAGAAGTTTGTGTACCACTGTGTGAAACGTCCTGATGTGCTTGACCTGTCAAGGTGTTGTCTTCAAATTTTGGCCAATCATTATTCCGATTTCAGTTATACAGACCGTCATACTTGAGGTGTGACATGAATAATCAGTGTGAAATTTTGAATATTAATGTGAATATCATTGGTTTTATACATTTAATTATCAGTGATTATGGAATATTGTTTGTTAGTGATTGTTAAAGTTACTAGTTAGTATTGGATACAGACCGATTTATCATTCCATGTCCAGTGAAAGAAAATCAAATGTGTGTCGACAAGAATAATGTAACTGTATTGTTGCAATTACTACTTGTGTGTTCATTTTATGTGTCAGGTTGTTGATTCTTCATGTCCGGTGTCAGAAGTTATTAAGTTTTAAAGTTTAAGATGATGTTATTGTTAAAGAAATGTCATCTTTTTAATTACATTAGGATGGTTATGATTGTCTTACTACTAATTGAAATTATTCTTACATATCACTTTACGGTAGACGCCATTGGTCATATTCAACTAGTCTGCAGCTCATTCTGAGGTGAGGTGAAATTGGGTTTTACGTCGTGCTTGAGAATATTTCGCTCATATGATGACGTGCATGCGTGTGTATGTGTATGTGCGGCTGCTTGTACTAGCCCAGACTTAAGCTGGTTTTATAGTGCCAGCCCACTGAGATACCATGCCGCAGTGAAGCATGAATACCCCACTCAGACACATTATACTGACTCCGAGCCGACCAGTCCTTGTTGTACCCATTAATGCCGAGCGCCAGGCAGGGACCAACAAGTACCATATTTACACGTCTTTTGGTATGACGCGGTCGGGGATCGAACCCGCGACCTTCGCTCTCCGGGAGGACGCTCTAACCACTACACTACGGAGGCGGTCCAGCTCATTCTGAACTAATGGTTATGTAAATTACCAAATCTATAATTCATAATCTATAAGCTTCTATACTGTCTAGACAGTTACTAGACTCAGACCAAGAGACTAGTGGCTGTGTCTGTCTGTGTCCGATAACCTAAGGACAGTTGATTAAAATGTATTAGTGTCAACCTCTGTTCAGGACACTGACTATTGTGCCAAAATCTGTTGATTTGTAAAGATTGCATCCCGGTTTCAAGTGAAGATGTTCATCATTTGTATACAATCTTTTTACGCAACAAACAAATAGTGCAAATATGTCAGGTACACTACACAAACTTTTGTTATACCTGGTACAATAAAACAAAATAATCCCTACATGTATGTCAGGAATAAGGTCCAGTTGTAGTAGTCCAGCAGTATAGCTATCCTGCTCATCAGAGTTGGTTCAAATCTAGTTTGTTTTATTTTGTTGTAGGTTTGTGAGCCCTATACTTCATGTCTTTGGTCTTCATGCTACACAATTATGTTTTTCATTGCTTTCGGTTTCCTTCCAAACATCTTGCTAGGATATACAGTGGACTCTGTCAATACCGGCCTCTGTAAACACCGGCACTCTGTCTACATCGGCACAAAGTTTCAGTCCCGGCAGAAATGCACGTTATTATCATTTAGAAACTTCTGTAAACATCGGCATCTGTCTATTCAGGATATCGGCATTGTTTTTCAGTCCCAACGAACAAGTTGTTATGAAAACGGATCTGTAAAAACCGGCACATGAAAGACGGCGTAACCCTTTGATGCAATTAGGTCCAAATGATGTAACAACACAATTCGCTGTGACTGAGATTATTCAGAAACGGGAAGTGTTAATCAGTATCCTGTTAATCGGTGAGTGATGCGTAACACTTACCCTGAGTAATTAATACATGTTGTGGGCAGTTTGACTGTATAAACAAGCAAGTGTTTACATTTTGTTGATTCATGGGTATTGACTCGAGATTATTCAGAAGCGGGAAGTGTCAATCAGTTTCTTGTTAATTAGTGAGTGGCACGTGTCACTTACTAGAGGCGAATCGTTTGATGGCGGGTATCGTTCGAAAGCTCTGAACATCAACAATATCACTGTACTCTTGCCGAGTATTTTTTCACATTTGTAAGAAGCGATTTTATTGGATAAAATTTGGTTTCTAACGACGCTTTTTCACTAGACTCTGCTTATAAGGGTCGTGATTGGTCAAAATCAGACACGTGACCTAAGCAGCCAATCATATTATGGAAATGGATACCGGTTTTGGGTAAAATAATGCTATTCTGAACATATTAAGAAAGACATCGCTACCTATACGTAAATTATGGAACGTATTGGACATATCGTGCTAGGTTATGGCCTATGACAAAAATGCTTCATGCATATATTTTCACATTAAGCATCGTGTCCGGGCGTCAAGACAGAGGCGGTGAAAGCCGAGATGTAACTTGTCAGTGACTTGACAAAAGTATGGAAATAGTAATTTTATATGTACGTTTGACAACTTTTATGAATGTTATTGTTGATTTCAATTTATTTAATGATTTCCTCGATGTTTGAAACATCGTTACTTTGCTCTTTACTCTTTACTCTATTGTAGACCCGCTGCTGAAGCATAAACAAGAATCGTTGTTTTTAATAACATTGCGAAAAATAGTTTACAATTTTAATTCTGCCGATAATATATGATCAGTTGAAATTTAATAAGAGATTTCAGACATTTTTATTTGATTTAAACAACATGAATGTGCATTCAGACACTGCCTTGTTTCTTATTCAAACATCTTGATAATGCTAAAGTGACAGTACGACAGCGAACTTCCGTGTGCGCAGGCGTCATAAGCGAACCTAGCTAAACCGGCACTCTGTCAAAACCGGCATTTTTATTTGGTCCCGACTGATGCCGGTATTGACAGAGTACACTGTATGTGGTATATTGTTCAATGCCTCATTAAACTATACTTACTGGGGCTAGCTAAATCGCTAATTAGAAATAGTGTTGATGAAAATTATTTTCATATCAATATTGTGCCATCTTACATATACTGTTGGGATGAAATCAATTTAAATTTCTATAAATACACATGGTTACACTTATGTTTTATGGGTCACTTCTAAATTATGTTCAGAGCACTGTTTTAGTTAGTAATCCATGGGATGCATCAAAATTATCAACATGTGAAACGTTGATTTCTTTCTAATTATTTTATGCATTTTTGCTCTGTTATTTCTCCAGTATATAATAATGATCAGTCAAGATTTAGTTAATGATTATTTTTTTCTGTAATCAATATCCATAGCCAGTGCTAAAACTTACTTCATTCTTATTGCTTATGTTTCATTACAACAACACCCGCTGAAAAGTAGCAAGCTTTCTGTCTTCCTGAACAGATGTCATTGCCAGGTATTCCTGGAAAATGGAAAGGGAATCTAAGACAAATTTTGTGTTGAGAAGAAATGTCTTTCCTAAAGTCTGACCAGCAAATTACTGTGTAAATCTTTATCATTTGTGTACATAAACTTGTAAACTATTGTTTGTATAGATTATGTGATTTTACCTTGATCATAATTAGAAGCTTTTGTGATATGTTCAGTGTTGTCTTTACAGATTTGCTTTGAAAATGATATGTATCCAATATGCTTTATGAAATAATCAGTTGTAGTTGTAAGGGTTATATATTAGTTTCAAGTATTTTGATTATATATTGTAAGTTTTTTAGCAGCATTTAGTGTTGATTTGCTGCCATAAGTTGATAGTCTATGGTAAAACATATGTTTGTGATCATGCTCATTGTTTCTTCCATGGAGAAATGTTCATTTTGTAGAATAGAATTTCACCCTAAAATAAGCTATAGAATTTCACCCTAAAGCTACCATCATTGTTTAGCATTCTTCATCTGTCATAGAGACAGTGCTCTCTGACAGAGAGATAGAGCTCTCTTCATGTACAATCCACAAATCACCATCCTCATCCTTCTCCACACTCCCGTTTCCCTTTCTCTCATCTTCTTGTCCCTTCAGAGAGATCCAGGTGTCATTTGAAACTTAGTCGAAATGTGATGAATATGTTGCTGACTGCATGTTTGTGTTGGCAATGTTCTTGACGGTGCCTTGGAGAAAATTTCAACTGATTGCTGAATCTAATTTTAACTGTCACTCACTCATTTGCACTTTCAACCCACATTTAGAGATCTTTGTACTGCATACCATCCTGCAAGCAACAATCCACAATCCACTTTGCACATCCCATAACCCACAATCCGAAATCCATAAGCCACAATCCACTTCCCACAACCCAAATCCTAAACCCTCACAATCCTCAACCGACATCCTATAACCAACAACCCACAATCAACACCCTACAACCAAATTCCTACAACCCACATCCCACAATCCTCAATGCACAATCCACAACCATCATTCCACAATCCACATTTTACATTCAATCACTTTTCATGATTTTAAAGTCTGTAAATTTGTGAACCATGTTTAAGAAATATCTGGCCTTACACGGGGAGGAGACATGCTATGTAGCATACCATCATTTCAGGAATTACTTCCATGTTTGTCAGCATAAGTCCATTTATATTCTTGTTTTACAGATGAGCCTTTCTATTAGAAATTATCAAAGAAATAATGAAATGCTTTTTTCAGCATGGTTATTGTGATCATATAATTTTTTTTCTCCTTTTTTAAAATATTATTTTACGAAAATCTTTCAAATAAATTCTGAAAATCTATTTAAAAATACTTCCTCCCTCTAAGAAAATGTTAAAAACAAGAAATTACGTTACAAGACTCATTCCGCCATGTGATGTTTGGGCTTGGATCACTGTGGAATTGGACACCAGCCTCATGAACGTTTTGAAGAGTATACATATATATAACACTGTAGTATTTCAAGCCTAGATTAGACTAAAATTATTTTATTAATAGTTACACTGCAGTTAAATATACACTCTTTAATCTGATGGTTTTGAGGGAAAATATTTGTAATATACACAAACAATGTATGCTTATCTAAGTTTGTTTCTTAGAAGTGGCTGCTTATACATATCACTTTCAGAACTGGAACTGTTTATTGGAGCTGTGCTAATAATAGGACTGGCTAAAAATATCGATAATCAGTAATACCGTAGATAGGAAAATTATTAAAGATTATCGATATGAAAATAGTGTCATCGATAATATTGTACATACCGAATATTACCGACCTCATAGATAAAGGCATGCAACACACACACACACACACACACACACACACACACACACACACACACACACACACACACACACACACACACACACACACACACACACACACACACACACACACACACACACACACACACACACACACACACACACACACCTAACTTGACCCTTAAAATCAGTATCAAAAATAGAGGCCCAGATAACCTGTGTATCCAGGTAAAATACACATAGAAAATTTCCAATTACGCATTGAAAAATAATTGTTGCGTACCAATTACGCATTTAAATTGTTAGATACGCAAAAAGTTTTAAACTAAATGCGTACGAAATATATTTATAAAAATCGCCTGCGTAATGAAAAGGACATCGATTGCTATCAAGTTGTACTGTTAGTATAGGACTAGTGTTGTACTGTCGGTATAGGATGAGTGATTTTTTTATGAAATCATTTCCATTATATTTAAGTTGGTTTTGATTAGGTATGACATAAGGCAGGACATA